GTGAAATTCAGTATCTAAGTTTGACTACCCTGAGGTTAAAAAAAGAAATCTATAGGAGACAGCAGGTAGTCTAGTAGTTAAGACTCTGGATTCCCACCATGGTTCAAGTCCCAAACCTGGCAGCTTGAAACGCCAGGAGTGTATGCATGGATATCCAAAATCCTGAGGAGAATGGAGAAGAAGGAATTGCAGCATATCTCTAACTCTCTGGCACGCACATGCACCCTGTAACAAAAGTCTCTAAAAAAATTACCTAGAAACATTAAGATTTAATAGATGATTGGGGAAAAAAAAATCAATAAACATGTTTATAATAAATTTATATTTATAAATAATTAACAATATAGTAAGATACTTTCTAATCTCAGAGTATTAATTTAGGTTATATCGTTTACCTAAGAGAAACTAAAAGTCAAAGGTTCCAAAGTCACATTAGCAAGAAAATGTCCAAGTTTGAGCACAAAATATGAATTTATATAAATACAAATCTCAACTACCCTACAAAAATAATTCTAAAAAAATAGTTTCTAAAAGAATGTAATTCATTTATACTGATTATAGAAAAATGGTTTCTGGGACCAGCAGTTAGCGTAATGGCTATGTCGCTGGACTCCCATGTAGTCAACTGAGGTTCACATCCTGGACCCGGTGGCTTAAAACTCACACCGGGCACGTGTGCATGCGTGCCCAAGATCCCAAGAGGAGAACGGAGGAGAAGGGATTGCGGCATGGCCATCACCCATGGGTGGTGATTCTCGCTTTTTGTCTCTCTGTCTCTCTCTGTCTGTCTGGTGAACACATGTGCACTACAGCAAAAACCTTCCAAAAGAAAAAAAGAAAAAGAAAAATGGTTTCTAGTCTAATACTATACTAGCTACTCAATTATAATTCAAATTAGTCTATTATACCCTTTGTTTTTATATTTCAAATTATGCTTACAACATCTTCAGTCCTAAGCCCTTTAGTCTAGCTGCAGCAAAGCTCTGTGTTTGTTTTGTTACCTGTGTGAGGGATGGTTTATTATTCTGAGTGTTTTATTCTTTTCAGATGGAAACAGAACACTAAAATCAATACTAAGAGAATTGAAGTATGACTTTTGATGCCATATTTACTTCTGCATTTCTTCGCCCAACTATCAATCTTCCATTCTAAAGAAGCATTTGAAGAATACTTTTTATTCTCTAGTGAAACCCCTATAACAGAAAAAAAGCTAAGTTACCATGGAGCCAACCAATTAATTTTGACACCTGCTTACCAAGATTGATCAATCTTTTTTGATGTCTGTTTGTAAGGTTGCTGTTCTTCAGTTTAGTAAAAGATTTTCAAGATAATTAGTGAAGTGAGAATTTCTAGTTCAAGTCTTTCCCCCTGTGTTATTACTTCAAATGCCAGATGAAACAAGCCACCATCTTCAAATAAACCTTTCACAGCTAAGCATATAATTTACCAGGAAGATTTTTCTTCTAAATCTGATTCTTCTCTTTAACATTAACTACTATATTTTCTTTACCCCAGGAGTATACATAAAAAACAGAGCATTGTACCAATTATATTTACTCTAATTAATAGTTTCTATTCCACAGAGAAATGAGAAGGCATTTATCAATAGAACACAATAAATCATGGGAAATAGCTACCAAGGAAATAATGACTATTCAATGATTAGTTCAAGGTTTACTATTATTTATATCTATATTTTAAAATACATTCTTTTTTTACTCACTAATGCATTTTGTTATGAACATCATTGCTCAATGTTATTTAAGCTAGTTTTAACTTGATCTGTGATCTTTCTGACTAACTGGGACAACATCTGCTAGTGAGGTCACAGGCTGCTGATCCAGATGATTAACAAGGTCCACTACTATAAAATGTAGATACGAGCTTCTCAGTACTGCAACAATTTTAGTCCTTTGTAAAGAAAGGGAACAAATCCACCTACACAAAGGCAATATCCTTAAATTATATATGAATCAAGCAATCTTTGTACTGATGTATAAAAAGATGTAAAAAAAAAAATGCATGTTGTTGTTTTCACATTTGGTTGTCAGTGTATGGTCAAAATTCTGTCTTGCTAGGTAAAGAGGCTAGTTGCTACTGTCATAACAAGATTTTAAGAAAAATTAAGTTTCAAAAAAGGGCCCTACCAAATACAATTCAGTAAGATTTCATCTTAAAATTATTCTTAAAGTTTTAATTAAAAAAAAAAACTATGGTACTATTACTAATTTGTAAAAGTGCAAAACTTGGAAATATTTCAACTCATTGCTACAAACGAATTTCATAAAACTTAACTGGGATTTCACTTCCAAAAGCCTGCTAAAAACTCATTTAAATTGTACATTCTACCTAAAATTTAAAAGTGCTACTTAAGGGACCAGCAGTTGGCGTAATGGCTGTGTCACTGGACTCCCATGTAGTAGACCGTGGGCTTCGAGTCCCCAATCCAGTAGCTTAAACTCAGCAGTTGGCATAATGGCTATATCGCTGGATTCCCAGGTAGTAGACCGTGGTTCGAGTCCTGGACCGGGTAGCTTAAACTCATGCTGGGCACATGTACATGTGTGCCCAAGATCCCGAGAGGAGAAGGGATTGCAGCGTAGCCAACCCCCCTGGGAAGTGAATTCTCGCTTTCTGTCTCTCTGTCCCTCTCTGTCTTTCTAGCAAGCGCACTCACCCTACAGCAAAAAACTCTATTAAAAAAAAAAAAAGGGTTATTTAAGAAAACCCACATTCTTACACTGAGGGTTTTTTTTAAAGAATTATTTAATCCATTTTTCATTTATTTTAATTTGACCAGAGAGAGACAGAGAAGGGAAGGGAGAATGCAAGCCACCAGGCCTGGGACTCGAACACTAGTCGGCCATGTGGGATGGTCCAATGCCTTAACCACCACACCACCTGCTGGTCCCTCTTACACTTAATTTTAAGCAGCATTTTTTGTAACAGGTTTTGCCAATTTTAAGCAGCACTTTTTGTAACAGGTTTTGCCATGAGGTATGTGTGCTCACTGGAGAGAGAGACAGAGCCACAGAGGGTAAGTGAGAAATTACACTCAGGGGGATGACGAAGCTGCAACCTCTTCTCCTCAACTCTCCTCCTAGGATCTTGGGCACACATGCACACATGCCCGGTGGGACTGTCAAGCCACCAGCGGGGTCTCAAACCATGATCCCTGATAGGCCATGTGGGAGTCAGGCAACATAACCACCATGCCTTCTGCTGGCTTAAGGGGCAATTTATAAACCAGCAACAGTAAAAAAAAAAAAAAAAAAAAAAAAAAAAATGCAATAAAGGAAGAAACGGGAAAAATGTGCTGTTTAGAACTCCCAGGAAATTGTACTAAATACTGTACATTAATAAGGTAAATCATACTCCTACCTTTACCTTAGAGCCCAAGAGCCCTTTCACTTAGACTTCACTATCATCCTCAAATAAATATTAGTAATCAATATAGTGTGATTTCAGAGCTGCAACCCAAACCCGGCCAGCGACTTTATATTAAGTAGCTAGACAAGTAGGAAGTGGAATTTTTAAATGACTGTTATCTGCAAGTTATCAAAGGCAATCCTAATAGCGTCAACTGATTTGCTGCTCCCCCACACCCACCCGGCTCTTTATATCCAGCAGAAACAGGAATGTAATAAACATCATCCAGTGGAGAAAAGTATCTTTACCTTTATAAAACAAACTCCTTAGCACCTTGGGCTTCAGAAAAACCAGAGATGTTTCCACACAACAGATGACAGTGAATTAACCAGTTAGAAAAAAATCATGGTCTTGACCACATAAAAGTCTTGGTGTTTCATCCTTTGATCTAACCTAAGTCTCCCCTGTATTGCTCAATTCAGAACTGTGGGCAAACTCACCGTAGCATATTCTACCATAGAGCTGGCTGATCTGGACCTCAACTCGACCCTTACTACTCTGTATCCTTGGACAAGTTACTTAAATCCACTGTCCGGATCCCTCAGTAAATCTAGTATAATTTCAGTAAGTCACAGAGTTGTGAGGAACATGGGAAAATCGACATAAAGCGCCTGGGACAACGTTTGGCTCACAGTAAACCCCATCATAAACTCCACTTACTAGGATCACTTGCTAAACTTAACAGCAGCCCCATCAGTGGTCACTTCTAGAGTGAGTCATAGGACGGGGGAAGTGCCAAGTACTAGTAGATCCACCATTCACGGTGAACCTTTACACTTCTGTATCTGAAGTGCTCACAATGCCAACGTCTTTCAGTGAGTTACTTGCATCATTTCTGACTTTAAAATACTGTCCTAACAAAATGGTGTTCAGCACCGTAAAGCGAGCACGAGAATGTTCTTGCTGATCTGGGGATTAGAAGTCGGGGTGGACATCTGGCACCCTTCACTCCACGTCGGTCAGTGCTCCGCGAGGACCCCAGTGTCCCGGGGCGCCCGGGAGCGCCAGGGAGCAGCGCGGCCCGGCTCCCGCCTGCCCCTGCTGAAAGCTGCGGTCCGCACTCGGCCGGGGGGAGCTGAGGCCGAGACCGGGGAGGCCGCGACCGGGGTGGGGCAGGACTGAGGTTCGGGGTCGGAAATGGCACTTACTTGAACCTGCCCTGGCAGTGCTGGCATTGGTCCCCCACCCAGCCCGGGTCGCAGAGGCAGGTGGAGTTGACACAGCGGCCTGAGAAGCAGGAACCAGTCCTCTCGCAGGGCTTGGACTGGGACACCTGCGCGTAGAGCGCCAGGTAGAGGAAGCCATAGCACAGCAGCCAGCTGTTCCCCATCGCACAGCAGCCAGCTGTCCCGTCCAGCAACCAGGACGCGCCCCCACCACCGCTGCCCGCCGGCCGAGTCCTCTACAGCCCAGGGCCCGCCGGCTGCGGAGGACCAGTGCAGCCCGGGCCCCTTGCTCCATCTTCCCCAGCGCCCTGCCCGGTGGGGCTGCGCTCGCGGGCGCGGACAGGGACACTCGGGCGGGGCATTCCGGCCGGAGGAAACCTCGCTGCTGCCGCTGCCGCTCCTCACCGGCGTCTGCCCCAGTCCCGCACCCCGGTCAGGAGGGACACATCCCATCCGCCGTCGCCTCCGCTCAGCTGCCTCCGGTCGCACTCGGACATCGCCGACCAGTGTCCTGACCTTGTCTCCCACGGGCTGACCCCGCAGCCAGGCACCCCGGGCCGGGCAGGGCTGGCGGTGGGGCGCAGGCGGCGCAGGCTGCGCCGGGCGCTCGGGAGAGGACCTGGCCGGGAGGGGGAGGGCGCCCCGCGCGGCCCCGCCT